GTTATTGGACATGGTCAACTTTAACCCCCTCTATTTCCTGAACGGGCTGTATGCTCATCTTGAAATTTTGCAGGAGTTATTGGGTCATTATATGTAACTATTTGGCATAATAAAAGTTTCAAAAATCGAGGTACCGAAAACGGGCATTTTTTGCATGGAGCTTGCGGAGGTTCTTTGATAGGGCTTAATATTACAGGATTGTTTAATAAAAAAAATTGTCATAAATATAAAAATTATTTGTAATAAGATCTGAAACTTCACAAACTATTCATGAAAGATTCATAATATGGCGCCCGTCGTTGTTTCGTGTGAGGATTAAAAATTAACAAATAATATTATAATGATGACATATTTATTGTAAAAAGATAAGTATACATTAATGTTTTAATTTTAATAGAAATATGCGTTGCCGATTAACTACTTATTACAGATAGTATTTTATACAAATTAAAGATTGAAACCTTTTAATCTTCATCAGTTCGTGTTAATATACATGTATATTAATCTAAATTTTGATCGCATATCACAAATATTGTACATGGAAAGAGTAAAACGTCGTTAAATTATAATGAAAAATTTTATTAAGACATTTGCAGGGTTGTAATATATTGATTTAATATTTAACGTGTAATAAAATATAATAAAACATTTTATTATATTTTATTACACGTTAAATATTAAATCAATATTATATATTTTATTACACGTTAAATATTAAATCAATATTTTACAACCATGCGAAATTCTTAATAAAATTGTTCATTATAATTTAACGACATTTCGCGATAAGATTTAGATTTTTCATGTTTCAACATCATTTTCAATATTCAATAATTTTAAAAACCTTGTAACACAATTTTATTTAAATTAAAAAAATTAATTTTTACTAAACAAATTGTATATAAATACGTGGGTATTAGGAGTCATCGCTAGACATTTATTGCGTAATATTAACTGATATCTATAATATGTACAATTACAATTTTGGACGTTTCGGCTAACAGTTTTGCGCCATCATCAGCAATAATCATTACCGCTTATCACCCTATACTACCGAATTGCATCTCGCAAAATTACAGCTCCGGCCAACTATACTCAAGTTGCATTGGAAATGTGGTGAGAGACAACCATCTTCAACATAGTTAATGTTGTGCTATCCAGTTGCTTAGCTGAGTGGAATAGGTAGTAGAACACAAGCTAATAATTGCAACAACATATTTTTTATTAAAAAAATTGGTACTAAATACTATTAATAGATGTATGTTGACCAGTAACTCACCCCATCTCCAATCACAATTGTAAATGAATCCAAGCATCGTCAATATATTACAATAAATTACAACTCGATGTTAAATAAGACTAAAACACAAAATGGCAATAAT